ACACACACACACAAATTATGTTTACACAAATAAATAAATGTGCACACACATGCACAAGTTAATCACATGCACACAATCTAATGCATACAAACACACACACACACACAAACACGCGCTCACAGTTGTTTCAGCAGTATTGAGACTGTACTACTGACCTGTTGTCTCAGCACAGCCGTTCTGTCTGATTGTGTGTTTCTCACTGCTGACCTCATGTGATTCAACTGCTTCTCCAGCCGAGAACATCGAGCTTCAGCCGCAGACAACTGAGAGAGCACATCTACACACACACACACACATAAACATTCTTTAACACAAACATTTCCACGGCGTACACAGAGATCAGATTGCATTCAAGCAACACTTAAAAATAAATAAATTATTAAATATATATATATATATATATGTATGCACTCACTGTCCACTTTATTAGGTACACCTTACTAGTGCCGGGTTGGACCCTTTTGCCTTCAGAACTGCCTTAATCCTTCAGGGCAAAGATTCAGCAAGCTACTGGAAATATTCCTCAGAGATTTTGCTCCATATTGTCATGATAGCATCACACAGTTGCTGCAGATTTGTCGGCTGCACATCCATGATGCCAATCTCCCGTTCCACCACATCCCAAAGCTGCTCTATTGGATTGAGCTCTGGTGACTGTGGAGGCCATTTGAGTACAGTGAACTCATCGTCATGTTCAAGAAACCAGTCTGAGATGATTGAGCTTTATGACATGCTGCGTTATCCTGCTGGAAGTAGCCATCAGAAGATGGAGACACTGTGCTCATAAAGGGATGGACATGGTCAGCAGCAATACTCAGGTAGGCTGTGGCGTTGATGCTCAATTGGTACTAATGGACCCAAAGAAAATCTCCCCCACACCATTACACCACCACCACCAGCCTGAACCGCTGATACAAGGCAGGATGATCCATGCTTTCATGTTGTTGAGGCCAAATTGTGAGCCGAGCATCCGAATGTGTCAGCAGAAATGGAGACTCATC